ACCTGACCTGCAGAAGCTGCCCAATACTAGCTAACCCATCCGTAACCTAGCCCTGTTTCCAAAGACGTGCAGATGTCCCAGTGTGGGTGCTCTGTGCCAGCAGCCCAGGGGGACTGATGCTCTAGGCTACTCTTGTCTGCAAGCCAGGGAGCTCACTTAGGTGTTAACAAACCTCTCCCCTTGAGCAGGAGTCATGTACCAGCTTGCAAAAACTCCTACCCCAGCAAGGTGGCCAAGGCTGCCCTGTGGCCCCAGACAGCCTACCCCAGCTTGATGTCACGTGGTGCTTTGACATTTGGCTTTGGTGCTCCAGTAGCTCCATGGAGTTTCTTGTATTTGTGTATAAAATCTTGCCTCTGCTTCTGCATGGAGACTAAGACTAGTGGGAAAGGAAAGTGGCTAGGGATGGTTTGGGTGGAGATGCTCTTCGGCTTTGAGAGGCTTTGCTCTAATGTTAACTCTGTGGGCAGCAGCCTCCTTCCTGCCTGGAGGCAGATTTTGACCCACAACCTCTAGACGCAGAGAAGGGAGCACTGAACTCCCAGAGCCCCAGCCTGCTGCTGGTGCCAAGGGAAGCCTGGCCTCCTGCTCCTCCTGGGCTTGGCTTTGCTGTCCCTTGGAGCACTGCTCCTGCAGTCAGTCCTGGAGCAGCAGGAGCAGTTTCTGTCTGATTCTTGTCAATGATGGCTGCCTTCAGGGCACTCAGAGAGGCCCATCTCTGTCCTAAATCTCATCTTTTTGCCTGTCGTCATGTTCAGGAGACCCTTCCTTTGTCGTCTTCCTTGCCACAGGAGAGACTGGACATGGAAATATAAAAGGGGAAAGGGACTGACCCTTTGAGCAGCAGGCAGCAGCTCTGAGACCTGTGTGCTTTTCTTCAACCCTACAGGGGCTCTTACACAAGCAGAGGTGGCTGTGATGATCTTGTATGCACCAAGATTTGCATCTCCTGGTGGTGGGGGCACTGGTACAGACAGATGCACAAGAGGGAACTGCCAGCCAGCACAAAGAGAGGCCAGGCTGTCTCGCCACTATGAGAACATTTCTTCGTTGGTTCCTCAGGATGTCTTTGAAAAGCTTTCAGAGGGAGAGAGATGGGGCATGCATGCAGCCCCACCTTCCCCCACCAGAAGCTCCTCTGAAGCTGCATCCAAGCCCCAGCATGACTCTTAACCACAGCTTATTATCTAGGCTGCCCAGCCTGTTTGCAGATACTTGATGTCCTGGCTGAAGCCAATAAGCTGGCTCACAGAGATGCAGCTCACTAAGGGGCAGTGCCAGGCAGGTCCCCAGGAGGACTTGATATCCCAGGAACGGTTGTACCCTGTCCCTGTAGCTGATGCCACCTCTCACTGTCATACAGATTGCCATCCTGATGTTTTCTATTCTAATCCTATTTTACCCACTCTTTGGGCTACAGAGAGTCTTTGTCCCCTTTTCCTCCTTCCCAATCCTATATGGGGAGTCCTTGTCAATATTTTCATGACAAGATCCTTCCAGCTCTTGAATTGCTGCTTTCTGAACCCTCTGCTATTTCCTGAAACCTTCCTGACAATACAGAGTCTGGGGGTTTCAAGTTTTGTCATTGCTCATACTTTCATTTCCCTCAGATGCCCCAAGGGATTTCCATGAGAAAATCACAGCAGCTACTCAGCCAAGTCATCTCAGAAGGGAAGTTTGTTGTTTCCCGGATTTGGGAACACTTCTGCCTCATACCTGTTATGCAAGAATTCCCGGGCTGAACAGCACTTAGCCTTCACAGCTATTTAATTCCTTGAAGTAATGATCAGTTTAAGGACTGATTATTCTCAAATGACACCCAGCTCAGACTGTGTCATCAAACCCTTGGCTTTGTTTTAAGCTCTGCTGGACCTGAGCGATCCTTGGATGTTGTGAAAGTCCCTGGCACAACATCTTTAGCTGAGAAATGCAAGTCACTGAACATCCGCAACTGATGCTGGCTTCCACAGGGCTTGAAAGTATTCTGCAACCCCAAGAAACAGGTCCTGAGGCCTGGATGGGACCAACCCCCTGCAAGTTATGAGGGTTTTACCTCTAAATGGCCCAGGTAGGATGCCACGTTCTCCTTCAGTACAGCTACGCTGGACACCACGCACTGGAACTTCTTCTCCAGGTCGTCATACTCTCTGTCCTCTGTCTGCAAGGCAAGGGGCAGCTTATCCCCGGCATGGGCAGGCCAGGCCATGCCTCACCTCAGGCAGGGCTGATGCCCTCACTGGGTGCTAATGTAAAAAGCAGCCAGGCACCTGCCTGAAGCTCTCAGTGCTGGCGACAAGCAGGGGAGACCCTGAGAGGCTCCAGGAATCTGAAAAGAGCCAAGATCTAGGGTGCTTGGGATGCATGCAGAAACAGGGCTTTCGGTGATGCTGTGGTGCTGGGGAACACCAGGGTGTCCTTCCTTTCGCTGGGGTGCCTGAGGATCCTGTGGGTGCTTTGGGGGCCAAAGCACTCCCCTGCAGCGCTCTGAGGCAGGGAGCAAGGTCTGTACCTGCATCCCTCCCACCCCGCTGGTCCTTGGGGCTGGGGACCGGGAGCCACCCTTAGGCTGCTCGAAAACGGGAGTGTGGCCCATGTGACAGCACAGGCCACTGGGTGTCAGCATCGGCCGCACCACCTCGGCTCCGCTCTCCCCATCCGCTGGCGAGGCATCGCGGGAGGCAGCGGAAAGCCCCAGAAATGACCCAAGGAGAGGCAGTGGGTGGGGTGCGGGCAGGCAGCGGGGTGCGGGCTGCCCACCTTGGCCACGATGCCGGCCTCGTGCATGAAGAGCCGGCTCAGTCGCGTGGTCTTCTTGGCGATGGAGTGCGTGTTGAGGCGCGCAAAGCGGTCCCGCAGCGTCAGGTGCTCGGCCTTGTTGTATTTGGTTGCTGCCTCGGGTGGGGGCACACAAGGTGGGAGGAAAAAAGATCAGAAGAGGAAACTTTAGGGCAGCATCCTCAGCAGCCTGAGTGGGCAACGCGGGTGAGCAGCATGCAGGCCCGGAGCTGACAAGTCATGATCAACAGGATAAGCACAACCCACATCAAAGAAGGGCAGCCCCGGGGAAAGTACTATGAAAACCAAAAAGAGCAGCAAGCTCCTATTCGTGGGGAGCCTTATTTCTCCTGTCCCAAGGGCAGGACTGTTCCTCCCCATTCCCCAGCTCCAGGAATGCAGATAGTCTGGTTTTGTGCTCAGCCCCCACCATGCCACCCTGCTCCTGCAGCCTTCAGGTCTTGCCCAGAGTGGCATTTGCAGGACCAGAGCAGTGCTGGGAGCTGCCTGCACTGTGCCAGGAGCTGCTTGCATGAGTCCGTGGTTCCACCAGGCAGTACGGGTGGAGGGCCGGAGAGCTTTGAACTGATTTAAGTGAGAATTAGCGCAACACCAAGGGGAGATGACTGGCATTGGGATGGGGCCTCCCAGATGCTGTGCCCCCTCCCTGTGCCGTGCTCCCTGCCCACTCACCTACTTCTCTGCGCCGTTTGTACTCGTTGATGTTGGCGTTGACCTGGGCCATGGCGCAGACGGCTGCCTGCAGGGCCGGGTAGGCGCTGGCGCTGACAGGGGTGTTCTCCAGGATCTTCCCCAGCAGCAGTGGGTATTTGGTGACCCTCTGCACTGGCATCACCAGGAAGAAGCTGAGGTCTGACGCACCTGTGTGAGGCCTGATGGAGAGGGGAATCGCTCTAGGTCAGTGCGCAAGGCTGCCCTCCTGCTCCTCCCAGCTTCTCTGCAAGCATTTTGGGGAGAAAGCAGCGCCTCTCCAGCTGCAGGGGAGCTTTGCTGCCTTAGACCTGCAGGCAAGCTGTGCCTAGCAGCCATGGGGGGCTTCTGGCTGTGAAGCCCTGCTCCCTGCCAGCTGTGGGGCCACCCGCCTGTGCGGGCGGGGGTATGCGGCCCCCGCCAGCCCCGAAGGCAGTGCCAGCCCCGGGCGGGCACCCTGCCTCCCTGAACAGTGCTGCGCTTGTCTAGCTAGGAGGCACAGGATTGGTGCTTGCTCCAGGGGCAGTGAGGAGGAGGATGTGGGCAAAGTGCAGGCAGGCTGCAGGCAGGACTCCCCTTCTACCCACATGCAAGGCATCGCTCATTTAGGAGTCACATCACCTGTGCCCTGAAACAGAGAGCAGCAAACCCCAAGAGCTCCTCCACTGCCACTCCTGCTTCTCCTGTCTCGGACAGTATTTGTGACCCCCCCAACAGTTCAGGACGGGTTAAAAAACCAGCCCGTCTCTCTGGTCAAGCTGGGGATCATGTGTCCTCTGTGGGCACAGCCTCTTGGGCTGTGGAGCAGGCAGGAGCTGTGGGTGCCACCCCATCCCTTGTTTTGGTGTCTGCCATAAAAGACTATCAAGCTGTAGTGCCCCTTTGGCAAGTGGCCCCAAGGATGCAGGACAGGCTGCCAGGGACTACACCAGGCAATGCCACAAATCATAGAATCATAGAATTGTTTCGGTTGGAAAAGACCTTTAAGATCATCCAGTCCAACCATTAACCTACACTACCAAGTCTATTCTAAGCCAATCAAGGGTAGACTAGACTAAACCATGTCCCGAAGTGCCACATCTACCCGTTTTTTGAACTCTTCCAGGGATGGTGACTCCACCACCTCTCTGGGCAGCCTGTTCCAATTCTTGACCACCCTTTCTGTAAAGAAATTTTTCCTAATTTCCAACCTAATCCTCCCCTGGCGCAGCTTGAGCCCATTTCCTCTCGTCCTATCGCTAACCACATGGGAGAAGAGACCAACACCCACCTCACTACAACCTCCTTTCAGGTAGTTGTAGAGAGCGATAAGGTCTCCCCTCAGCCTCCTCTTCTCCAGGCTAAACAACCCCAGTTCCCTCAGCTGCTCCTCCTAAGACCTGTGCTCCAGACCCTTCACCAGCCTTGTTGCCCTTCTCTGAACACGCTCCAGCACCTCAATGTCCTTCTTGTATTGAGGGGCCCAAAACTGGACACAGTATTCCAGGTGCGGCCTCACCAGCGCCGAGTACAGGGGGACAATCACCTCCCTGCTGCTGCTGGCCACACTATTCCTGATACAAGCCAGGATGCTGTTGGCCTTCTTGGCCACCTGGGCACACTGCTGGCTCATGTTCAGCCAGCTGTCTACCAACACCCCCAGGTCCTTTTCAAAGGTGATGACCATGATATTACACTCAGCCTGGTGGCACGTACCCCTGCAGGCAGCTTGTCCAGAGAGGAGAAGGGCAAGGCCAGTAGGTAAAACAGGGAGAGGGAGGTGGTGGCCTCAGCAGCAGGTACCTACACTGTTGCATTCAGGGTCTCCAAGATCTCCTCCTGCAGCCTGGGGTCCTTGCGGTAGCTCTCCACCAGCAGAAGGGCATGCTCGTAGCTGGCACAGTAGATCTTGTAGACGGTCTCCATCTCCTCCTTGAATTGCTGGAACAGGGCACCTGAGGAAGGAGAGCAAGGCTGGAAAGGACGGTCCTTTCCTATGGCCTCAGAGAAAGGCAGAGGTTTCTCCCCAGCCTGCTGGAAGGGTGAAGCCGGCAGAGCTATGCTCTGCACCCCGGGCACCTCTGCTAAGCTGGGCCTGATGCTGCACCCCACACACCCTTCCTGCAGCTGGGCAGGTCTGCCTTGCCCCTGTGGGGTGAGCGTGGGTGGCTGCCTGCGGATGGCAGTGTGCAGGCAGCAGCACTTTCCAGAGCCGAGGGAGGTGCAGGAGGTGTCAGCGTGGGTGCACTGGGGGCTGCACTTGGGCACAGCGCTGGGCAGCGGCACTGCCAGCACCAGCAAAAGCATGGGTGGGTGCAGGTCAGCTCTTGGCACTCCACCACTTACTGATGCAGAGCAGCTGCTCGCCCTCCTGGGTAGCCGTGGCCTCAAGACCCTTCAGGAACCGTCTGGAGACATGGAGGATGTCATCAGTGTTAGAGAAGAGTCCTTCCAGGTCAAGATCAGGCAGCTGAAGGGAACAAAGATGCCCCAGGGTAAGCCAAATACATCAGGCAGAGGTGGACCATGTGTTCTGGAGGCACTTGCGCCCTCCTGAGCACTCATGTCCTTCCAGCTGCCTCATGTGACACCTGAGGAGCTGGAGCGATGCTCTGATTCAGGAGGCATTGGGGATGCTGAGACCTGGCTGTGCTCCCGAGCAGGGCAATGAGGCCTTGTCACGTTACAGATGCAGGGTTAAAGCTGTAGGACGGCTATATTGGGTCAGACCCAATGTCCATCCAACCCAAGACCTTGTCTTATCAGGGAGAGCCCAGTGGAAGGTGAGCACGTGGTGACCTCCCTGCAGTGATTTGGGTATCTCACAGCTCTTGACAGATTCACCCTATGGTCCCCAGTCCCTGGACAGGGGGATGTACCCCCTCTCACCTGCTTCTTCTGGAGGTGTGCCCGGATGTCCGACACGCAGAGCTGGATGTTGCGGACGTAGCTGGCCTCAGTGGTGATGAGCTCCTCCACGGCCAGCCGCTGGCTCAGCTCCATCCTGTCACAGGGCATCACCTCCTCATAGATGGCCTCTTCAGTCTCTGCTGCATCCTTGGCATCAGGCTCTGCCCCATGGGTGCTTGCCATCTTGGCGTGACACTGCAGGGGGTGGCACAGGGTTAGGAACAGGCTGTGGCAAGGGCAGCCCCGGGACTGATGCTCTGGTACCTAACCCAGCTCAGTGCCCGTGCTCCCTCCCCTGTGCTGGGGGCACCCCACAGCACATCCCCAGGGACACTCAAGCCATCTGCACTTACAAGCAAGGTGAGGATGACACTCCAACACCATGAAGCCATAAAGTGCTGCAAGCCACGGAGCTGGCTGGCACAGATGGCAGACACCCACGCATGGCAGGCAGCGGCTTGCCACACACACGTGCCGAAACTCCAGCGAGCACGTGCAGGACCAGGGTGCAGGCAAGGGGAGCCCCAGCTGCACGCAGAGGACCAGCAGCACTCACCCAGCACTGGGACTGAGCAGGGGCTGGTCCCTGAGGGCAGAGTGCAGTTTGCCACCTCTGCTCCTGCTCTGCGCTGCTGGGGCTAGCTGTTCCCTCCCTGCCTTGGCTGTCAGTGCCTGGCACGTTGCCTCGCATTCAAGAGTCCTACCCAAAGGACAAAGAGTGTTTTTGCAGTGCTTGAACAAGAGACGTTTCTGTGGCAGGAAGAGCTGGTTTAAAAGTGATGGGGATGGGGGAGAGATGTGAGCGAAGCTGCAGGCACCTCTGTCAGAGACACTCGCAGCCCCTGGCACGCAATGCCTGTGCCCTGCAGAGCACAGCCTGCTCCCCTCTCCTCTCTGCCTCTGGAGAGTGTGAAAAATTGGAGCTGATTCATGCCATTTCCTTCTCAGGGAACATCCTCTACTCTAACTGATGCTGAGGAGGATGGAGCAGCTCCCAAAGTATCACAGATAATGCTCCATCCCAGCCAGGAGGCCTTGAGAGAGAAACACAGCACAGCCCACGCCAGCCCAGTGCACAGCTCAGCTGGATCCAGACCCCGGCCGGGGGGAGGGATGCTGCCAGGCAGCTTGCCTGCGGAGGCTGTGGGAGAGGCGAAGAGCAAAGGCAGGGAGGAGATGACTTGGCAGGATAAAAGCGAGATGGCACAAGCAGTGGCACAGGGAGGGTGGCTCTGCATCTGCCCTCTGCCGCCTGCCCAGCGGTGCCAACCTCTGTGCCTGACTGTCAGCCAGACCACGTCAGGCCAGGCGCCCGCTTCGGAGGCTGCAGCCCCGGGCGCCTGCAGTGGGAGCAGGGAGAGGGGCTGACAGGACAGCCCGAGCCCCCGCTGGGGAAAGGTCCAGCTAATAAGTGGGTGATGCAGTTGCAAGCACCAGGCAGGGTTAATGTCCCCTCCTGGCACATGCCCGCAGCTGCGCTGGAGATGAGCTGGGCTTGGCACAGCAAGCAAATGCCAGCGAGAAGGTATGTGACCTCCGCCTGTCTTACAGGTGCACGTTACCCTGCCAGCTGTCATCCCTGCCCTCTGCGGATTTGTCTGCTGCCCCTGCCTGTGGCGTGGTGTTGGCTGCTACAGGACACGGGGATTGGGAGATACTTTCCTGCGCCCCTTTGGGTGCTCCCGAGGTGCCCAGGCAGAAGGATGCCCATCAAGGGCTGTTGGACAAGCTCAGCGTCCTCTGCCTGGGGGTGACAGCAAAACCCTTGCTCAGAGGAAGGGCTGCAGTGGAGGCAGGTGGAAAGCCGTGATCCGAGACACCCCCTGAGCTCTGGAGAGATGCCCCGCA